TCTGTCGGGCGAGACAGAGGAGAGGCTCGTCATTGGTTGCCACCGGTCACAGGTGTAAAGATTAATTGGTACATTTATCCTCACTCTAGAACCTAAACTCACTCTACAACCTGTTGAACGCGGAACGAGGGAGAGCTCGGTTTGTTGTTTTGGAAAGTTTGTTGTTTTGGGAAGTTTTGAAAGTCTATTGAAAAAGTTTGGTTACCTTTTGAGTTTGGATCCCGCGACGCGGTTGGCATCAGTTGCTGGGACCGCTACTATCTGTCCAGTGATCCTGCCGACCAAGGCCGGGTCTGAGGAGCTGTTTGGCGTATTAGCTAGCCTAGCTGCTAGCTAGCTGCCTATCAAGATAGCAGAGTTTTCTTGAGGTCTTGAACGCAGCCCGCAACGTGGTTAGCCATTGTGGCTGGGACTGCGGATTATCCCGGGTTTGTGGCTGTCTAGATCCCTGCTGTTTGTTGTTGTTGTTTTCCCATCTGCCCTGTGACCTACCCTGTCTGGAACTGCGAGGAGTAACAGTCGTAACCTACGTTGTTACCATGACAAAGACCAAAGCCGGCGGGAGTACCATTGAGGACAGTGGTGTCTCTCTATCACAGGTGAAGGATCTTTTAAACGAACAAAAATAGTTCTACAAGCAGTTGCTACAACAACAAGAAAATAGCTTAAAGTATTTTATCCAAATGCTAGTGGAGTCAACTAATAAAAGAATGGATGACCCGACCAGAGAGGTCCAGGACCTGAAGAACAGTTTGCAGTTCTCCCAGGGTCAGCTCGATGAGTTTGAAACAGGAGAACGGCAAAATGACAGCAATTTGTAAGTCACTGAGAGAGGACATCATTTCTGTGTGTGAGTTCATGATAACAATGACGGAGAAATCTGATTATCTCGAGGGAGAATCAAGGCGGACTAACATGGTTGTGGACAGAATTGCAGAATCTCCCCATGAGACCTGGACAGAGTCTGAGGACAAAGTGAGGGAAATTATCTTGGAGGAACTGAAGATGGACCACAGGAAGATTGAGGTGGAGTGCGCCCACAGGACTGGATAACCCACCCCCGGCCCAGGTGACAGGCCCAGGCCGATAGTGGTCAAGTTCCTGAGATTCAAGGACAAGGTAGCCAAGATCACAAATGACTGATGACTGGTTGAAAGAAGTTGATAATTACAAGATTGTGGGAGCTGTACTGTTAGATTTCAGTGCAGCCTTTGATGTTATTGGCCATAACCTGTTGTTGAGAAAACGAATGTGTTATGGCTTTTCAACCTCTGCCATATCGTGGATTCAGAGCTATCTATCGAATAGAACTCAGAGGGTTTTCTTTAATGGAAGCTTCTCTAATGTTAAATAAGTGTGGTGTACCGCAGGGCAGCTCTCTAGGCCCTCTACTCTTTTATATTTTTACCAATGACCTGCCACTGGCATTAAACAAAGCATGTGTCCATGTATGCTGATGATTTAACCATATACGCATCAGCAACCACAGCTAATGAAGTCACTGAAACCCTTAACAAAAAGTTGCAGTCTGTTTTGGAATGGGTGGCCAGTAATAATACTAAAACTAAGAGCATTGTATTTGGTACAAATCATTCCCTAAGTTCTAGACCTCAGCTGAATCTGGTAATGAATGGTGTGGCTTTTGAACAAGTTGAGTTCAAAAGCCACTGGATCATCCAGATGGTCATTGGCTAACTTCAGACGGGCCTGGACATGCGCTGGCTTGAGCAGGGGGACCTTGCGTGCGCTGCAGGATTTTAATCCATGACGGCGTAGTGTGTTACTAATGGTTTTCTTTGAGACTGTGGTCCCAGCTCTCTTCAGGTCATTGACCAGGTCCTGCCGTGTAGTTCTGGGCTGATCCCTCACCTTCCTTATGATCATTGATGCCCCACGAGGTGAGATCTTGCATGGAGCCCCAGACCGAGGGGGATTGACCGTCATCTTGAACTTCTTCCATTTTCTAATAATTCCGCCAACAGTTGTTGCCTTCTCACCAAGCTGCTTGCCTATTGTTCTGTAGCCCATCCCAGCCTTGTGCAGGTCTACCATTTTATCCCTGATCTCCTTACACAGCTCTCTGGTCTTGGCCATTGTGGAGAGGTTGGAGTCTGTTTGATTGAGTGTGTGGACAGGTGTCTTTTCTACAGGTAACGAGTTCAAACAGGTGCAGTTAATACAGGTAATGAGTGGAGAACAGGAGGGCTTCTTAAAGAAAAACTAACAGGTCTGTGAGAGCTGGAATTCTTACTGGTTGGTAGGTGATCAAATACTTATGTCATGCAATAAAATGCAAACCAATTACTTAAAAATCATACAATGTGATTTTCTGGATTTTTGTTTTAGATTCCGCCTCTCACAGTTGAAGTGTACCTATGATAAAAATTACAGACCTCTACATGCTTTGTAAGTAGGAAAACCTGCAAAATCGGCAGTGTATCAAATACTTGTTCTCCCCACTGTATGTGTAACTGATAGATGCACACACACACACACACACACACACACACACACACCACATGTTCATGTTTTTTTAAGTATTTTGTCTGTAATGTCTTTTTCATTATTTGTCGGACCCCAGTAAGACTAGCTGTTGCCATTGGCGTCGCTAATGGGGACCCTAATAAATAAAATATGAACACACACACACACACATTACACACCCTAGACATACGATCAATGAAACACACACAAAAAAAGACAAAGTGAACTTTATACAATTTAATTAACAGATGTTACACAAGAGTTCACAGTCAAACAATGTTGCAAACCACACAAATACATGTATTGTCCTTCAGAATCAGAAGAATATAAAATGTACTTTTCAAATAAAGACCCGATAGAGTAAAACAGACAAAGTACATGGGTAGTCAGACATCAATGCAACAACAAACATCTAGTTTTTATTATGAAGAAGGTTGTATAAAATACAGTCGTGGTCAAAAGTTTTGAGAATGACACAAATATTGGTCTTCACAAAGTTCGCTGCTTCAGTGTTTTGAGATATTTTTGTCAGATGTTACTATGGTATACTGAAGTATAATTACAAGCATTCCATAAGTGTCAAAGGCTTTTATTGACAATTAGATTAAGTTTATGCAAAGAGTCAATATTTGCAGTGTTGACCCGTCTTTTTCAAGACCACCGCAATCCACCCTGGCATGCTGTCAATTAACTTCTGGGCCACATCCTGACTGATGGCAGCCCATTCTTGCATAATCAATGCTTGGAGTTTGTCAGAATGTGTGGGTTTTTGTTTGTCCACCTGCCTCTTGAGGATTGACCACAAGTTCTCAATGGGATTAAGATCTGGGGAGTTTCCTGGCCATGGACCCAAAATGTCGATGTTTTGTTCCCCGAGCCACTTAGTTATCACTTTTGCCTTATGGCAAGGTGCTCCATCATGCTGGAAAAGGTATTGGTCGTCACCAAACTGTTCTTGGATGGTTGGGAGAAGTTGCTCTCAGAGGATGTGTTGGTACCATTCTTTATTCATTGCTGTGTTCTTAGGCAAAATTGTGAGTGAGCCCACTCCCTTGGCTGAGAAGCAACCCCACACATGAATGGTCTCAGGATGCTTTACTGTTGGTATGACACAGGACTGATAGTAGCGCTCACCTTGTCTTCTCCGGACAAGCTTTTTTCCGGATGCCCCAAACAATCTCAAAGGGGATTTATCAGAGAAAATGACTTTACCCCAGTCCTCAGCAGTCCAATCCCTGTACCTTTTGCAGAATATCAGTCTGTCCCTGATGTTTTTCCTGGAGAGAAGTGGCTTCCTCGCTGCCCTTCTTGACACCAGGCCATCCTCCAAAAGTCTTTGCCACACTGTGCGTGCAGATGTACTCACACCTGCCTGCTGCCATTCCTGAGCAAGCTCTGCACTGGTGGTGCCCCGATCCCGCAGCTGAATCAACTTTAGGAGACGGTCCTGGCGCTTGCTGGACTTTCTTGGGCGCCCTGAAGCCTTCTTCACAACAATTGAAACTCTCTCCTTGAAGTTCTTGATGATCCGATAAATGGTTGATTTAGGTGCAATCTTACTAGCAGCAATATCCTTGCCTGTGAAGCCCTTTTTGTTCAAAGCAATGATGACAGGCACCTGTTTCCTTGCAGGTAACCATGTTTAACAGAGGAAGAACAATGATTTCAAGCACCAGTCTGTTATTCTAACTCAATCAGCATGACAGAGTGATCTCCAGCCTTGTCCTAGTCAACACTCTCACCTGTGTTAACGAGAGAATCACTGACATGATGTCAGCTGGTCCTTTTGTAGCAGGGCTGAAATGCAGTGGAAATGTTTTGGGGGATTAAGTTCATTTTCATGGCAAAGACGGACTTTGCAATTCATCTGATCACTCTTCACAACATTCTGGAGTGTATGCAAATTGCCATCATAAAAACTGAGGCAGCAGACTTTGTGAAAATTAATATATGTGTCATTCTCAAAACTTTTGACCACGACTGTACATTCCCTGTACAAACAACTGGGGACTGGATATTGAAAAAGCCTTCTGAAAAGCAGTGTTGGGGTCAATTCCATTTCAATTCAGGAAGTAAACTGAAATTCAAATGTTCCTCTATGCTTCTTATGAGAAAAACACTTCCAAAAACGTTCTAACGAATATCAATTTTTCATTAATTGTTTCAATATTTGAGTTGAGAAAATCCCTATGGACCAAGGCTGGGCTTCTATGATGTCGCATGTTTCAACAAACAAGATACATAGAGGGCAAAAATAACTGTACCATAATTTTGACTCTTACAGCTGAATTTGTAAACAGTCTTTGCATTTGTGAAATACATCAAAAAAATGAGCTCCTGTACGACCAACTAAATGTATTCTGCAACTAACTACCATCAGTTATGATCGCTTCAGCAAACATGAAGTCATTGACCAGGGTATTATGAAGGTAAAACATCTCATAGTTGTAACCTTAGTCTTTGTTTCCAGGACAGAGCACTACAGTTCCAGTAACAGGTCAAGGGTTAAAGTTCATTCATAGTGACCCCTCGTTGAGAAATCCCAGTCGTAGGGATAACGTGGTTGCGTAAGGGGCAGGAGGTGGTGGAAGGTTTATGCTTTCTGGCGCAAAATGGCATCACCCAGATAGGAGCTCCATATCTGTGGTGAGTGATGTCTTGGATGAGTTTACCCCTTACGTTGTAAAACACTTTGAGTGTATGGTGAAGTGCTATATAAATCCAATCAATTATTATTATTGGATGAGGAGAGGTGGTGTAGCTGGGTGCTGGCTAGCCGGGTCAGGTATCCCTCTGGGCGGGATGGTTGAGGAGGGGTATGAATGTCTGCAGTAACCAAGAAGATGTATCTTGACATCTGGCCACTTAGCTAGCAAGTTAGCAAACCAAATGCATAGCTGGTGCCCTGAACAGGATATCATTTAATTGACACATTTTAGATTTCTTATAGTTAAACTAAAGTTCTAGTTATAAGCAGTGGCGTAGCACGCAGCCCCAAACAAAAATATGATTATATATTTTTTAAACGGTATTGAAAATCATACTGTCGGTATTTAGAAATACCCGGGATACGGTATAAACGGTATATCGCCCTAGCCTAGTGACGGAGGAAGACATCGTCGGTGTGTAGAATGCTATGAAACACGGACCATCTGGGCTACAGAGTCTTCTGCCTGGGCGGCCAGCTCTGCCTGTTGCTATGGGGAGAGAAGGAGAGAGAGAGGAGGAGAGAGAGGGGAGGAGAGAGAGGAGGAGGGAGAGAGAGAGGGGAGGCGAGGGGAGAGGAGGAGGAGGAGGAGAGAGAGAGGGGAGAGAAGAGAGGGAGAGAGAGAGAGGGAGGGAGGAGAGAGAGAGAGGGGACGGAGAGAGAGAGAGGAGGGGAGGAAGAGAGAGAGAGGGAGGAAGAGGAGAGAGAGAGGGGAGGGGAGAGAGAGAGGAGAGGGGAGGAGAGAGAGAAAGGAGAGGAGAGAGGAGGGGAGGAGAGAGGGAGAAGAGAGAGAGAGGGGAGGAAGAGAGAGAGAAGGGGAGGAGAGAAGAGAGAGGAGGAGGAGGGAGAGAGGAGAGAGAGGAGAGGGGAGGAGAGAGGAGGAGAGAGAGAGAGGGAGAGGAAGAGAGAGAGAGAGGAGGGAGGAGAGAGAGAGAGGGGAGGAGAGAGAAGAGAGAGAGGAGGAAGGAGGGAGGAGAGAGAGAGGGGAGGGAGGAGAGAGAGAGGGAGGAAGAGAGAGAGAAGGGGAGAGAGGAGAGAGAGGGGAGGAGAGAGAGAGAGAGGGGAGGAGAGAGAGGAGAGGGGAGGAAGAGAGAGAGAGAGGGGAGGAAGAGAGAGAGAGGGGAGGAGGAGGAGAGAGAGAGGGGAGGAGAGAGAGAGGGGGGAGGAGAGAGAGAGGGGGGAGGAGAGAGAGAGGGGAGGAGAGAGAGGAAGGATGAAGGTACCAGTCAACACATGCAACCAAAACATGTACACAGTCGCTAATGAAAGTCTACACACCCATTGCTCTCTTCACATTTTTCTGCCTCAAAAATTTTTGGGGTTTGTTTTTTTTACTGATCTGCACAACCTACTACACATTTTAAAAGGGTAAAGAAAAAATATTGAAAATGTTCAACATTAAAAAATAAAAAGGAAGATTTCTTCGTAGCGTACGATTCTACCTACAGTGCCTTCAGAAAGTATTCACCCCCCTTGACTTTTTCCACATTTTGTTGTGTTACAGCCTGAATTTAAAATGGATTAAATTAATATTTTTTTGGTCACTGGCCTACACACACTACTCCCGAGTGGTGCAGTGGTCTAAGGCACTGCATCGCAGTGCTAGCTGTGCCACTAGAGATCCTGGTTCGAATCCAGGCTCTGTCGTAGCCGGCCGCGACCGGGAGACCCATGGGGCGGCGCACAATTGGCCCAGTGTCGTCCAGGGTAGGGGAGGGAATGGCCGGCAGGGATGTGGGTTCGATTCCCACGGGGTGCCAGTAAAAAATAATTATATATATATATATATAAATAATGTATGCACTCACTAACTGTAAGTCGCTCTGGATAAGAGCGTCTGCTAAATGTAAATGTAATAATGTTAAAGTGGAATTATGTTTTTCTAAATGTTTACAAATTACACTGAACAAAAATATAAACGCAACATGTAAAGTGTTGGTCCCATGTTTCATGAGCTGCAATAAATACTCACTAAAAGCTTATTTCTCTCAAAATGTGTAAACACATTTGTTTACATAACAGTTAGTGAGCATTTCTCCTTTGCCAAGATAATCCATCCACCTGACAGGTGTGGCATATCAAGAAGCTGATTAAACAGCACGGGCAACACTAAACAGCAAAAGGCCACTCTTAAATGTGCATTTTTGTCACACAACACAATGCCACAGATGTCTCAAGTTGTGAGGGATTGTGCAATTGGCATGCCGACTGCAGTTATTTTAACAGTAAAATAAAACAACAAAAGCCTAATTGTCAACCCAAAAATCCATGACAATAACTGGATTAGGTTGCTCATCAAAATATTTGAATCACAACATGTTAGATAAAACAACTGATGGTACAATTATTCTCTACAGTATACTTGCTTGTTTTGTCACATAAACTGAAATTAGGCCAACTATTAGAATTTTTGCAAACAGGAAATGGCGGAGCGATGTCTGCATAGTGCACCTTTAATAAAGTGTGGTATCTGAACAATATATGACTTCGCTGACGTTTGCAAAAGGTCTTAGAGGATGTTGACTCAGCTTAAGGGAAGCATCTGGAGAGTAGTTCTATAGGGGCACCCTAAAACAGAGGAAGTCTGTTAGGTGGAGTCCTGGGATTGGTCCGTAGGGGAAAACGCCCATATCAGGTTACATAGGATATATACTATGGTTTGGGACAAAGGACGGGGAGAATAACATATTTAGAGATTGGAGCCGGTTATTCTCCAGATGTCGGCAGATGTCTGTAAATCGACGCTGTAACCCTTTGATATAATAAACCTTTATGATCAAAGTACAGCGTCCAGCGGATTCCCTTGTTCTCCACAGCATAATTAGCATCGTTTTCTCAACACTACAAAAGCACTGTGAATGATAGTCCCTCCAGGATTTTGCAGGGTTTTTGTGATATTTGCGGGCCAAAATGCTTGATTTTGCTGTGGCTGTTCTGACATTTTGCATGGCAATATGCAATGATTTTGTCCAATTTGTCGTGAAAATGTGTGGCTTGATTCAACCATGACTTGACAGTTTTATGCGGAAATAGTGTGGTAAATTGGTCAAATCTGAAAGCCCTCGTATAATATGAGGGGAATTTCTGATTTTGCTAAAATATTGGACTGGAATGACTTTATAAGATGATTACACATTTGTATGAAATAATGTATGCACTCACTAACTGTAAGTCGCTCTGGATAAGAGCGTCTGCTAAAATGACTAAAATGTAAATGTTTCTATTGTGTGACGCCAAATCATGGGCTGGTGCCACCAGTGAATTTTTGTCTGTAGCCCTAGGTTTATGTGTATTGTATAAAGCCTGAAGAACTTAGTAAGGACTCTTCAATTCAAATTGTATAATGGCGGTTATGGGGAGGAGGCTGATTGAGGTAGCCAGTAGGATCTCAAACCATCCCCTCCTGAATTTCTACTTTTGGTTCCTCTTCTCCAGCTCTCCTACCTGGGCGAGGGCCAGGGCCATCTCCTCCCTCTCCTTGGGAGAGAAGAAGCGTCCTCCGTCTCCCCTCTTGCGCTGCATGGCATGGCGGTGACGGGACTCATGCAGGTATTTCTGTCAGATAGATAGATATATAGATAGATAGAGAGAGGGAGAGAGAAAGAAAGAGAGTCACTAACAACTAGGGTTGTAACGGTTCACCAAACCCACGGTTCGGTACGTATTGCGGTTTTGGAGTCACGGTTTGGTTTCAGTACAGCGGGAAAATGAAATGCCATTCACAATGTTCAGCATTCACAATGTTCAGCATTCACAATGTTCAGCATTCACAATGTTCCTGGCATTGTCTGTTGTGACCGGATTGTTATGTTGGGCCTCTCAAGTTTCCATTCTGATGCTGTGTTTGTAACCATGTGGGAGGTGGGAATTTACCGTAAAGTCGTAAATACCAGTTCCATTCATGTGATATGAACTCGTTGAGAAACACAGATTGGCAAATAAAATAAAAGTACAGCTATCATGTTCAAAAATTAATAGATTGGTTTTTATACATACTGTTTTGTTGTTGCGTTTAACTGCCAAAAATGCTGTTATAGAGGCCATTTTCTTAGTAGGTGACATCAGAGGTCCCCGTGTGAGAAGTGGGTGCTCAGGATGATAGTCAGTTTCAAACCAGTAATTACAATTTGGAGGGCCGTTCAAGTGGATTTTTCCCAGTCTCGTATGTGGTAAATTCCCACTTCCCACTTGGATACGAACGCACCATGACACTGCCTCCTTCAGTACCAGATGCACACTTGTGACACTCATAAAGGGGGCGATGTCTGTAGCGCTGTACATCTCCCACTCCGGGGTAATGTGACGGGGCTGCCACTGTTAAAAGGTCCAATGCAGCCGTTTATATCTCAATATCAAATCATTTCTGGGTAACAATTAAGTACCTTACTGTGATTGTTCTCAATTATAAATGGTCAAAAATAAACAAAAAACTGCTTCTTAGCAAGGAGCAATTTGTCAAGCAAGAATTTTGCTAGGACGGTCTGGGAGTGGTCTGAGTGGGGAGGGGGAAAACTGGAAACTAGCCGGGCGCCTGCAGGCTGACTTCGGTCGTCAGTTGAACGTGCTTCCTCTGACACATTGGTGCGGCTGGCTTCCGGGTTAAGCGGGCGGGTGTTAAGAAGCGCGGTTTGGCGGGTCATATGTTTCGGAGGACGCATGACTCAACCTTCGCCTCTCCTGAGCCCGTTGGGGAGTTGCAGCGATGAGACAAGATCGAAATTGGGGAGAAAAAGGGGCTAAAATTAAAAAAATAATAATAATAAAAGGGCATTATCCAAATTTTTACAATTTCACAGTGTTACTCCAACCACATAGCGTATAAATATATACATAACAGGAAAATCATGTTTTTGACTGCACTGGGCCTTTAAGTAAGCGCAACACATGGTGCATCGCCAATTAATTGAATACTTCGGCTTTGGTTTGCTTATATAGAGCGGGTACTACTTGTTCGCTGAAACGGGTGCAAGAGGGAAGCTAGTAACGTCACTCGGGCCCTTTCAAGAGGTGCTGAAACCCCCTATTCTCAACCATCGAGAATGGCCAACTATCACTTTAGCAACACCTTGCTAAGAGAAGACTAAAACTAACAGATAGTAGTTTGCAGACAGTAAGATACACGTAAGGTATAATCAACGAGGGGCTATGCTTTCTCTGGAAAATAATGAACGACGTGGAAGGTGTGTTCCACAACACGCTAGCGGAGTGGAACTGACCTTCCACAGAGTTGCATTATTTTCCAGAGAACGCATAGAGCCCCGAGCTGATTATAACCCTTTTATACCGTGGCTATAATTTAACTAATTTACAGCTAGAAATGTGATCAACGTCCACTGAAGTAGCTAGCACGTTTACTAGAATAGCTACAGTAGTTACCTTGGTAACCAAACAAACAGACTTGCTCCTTTAGCTAACCAAACCATCAGTCCTAGCTTGCTATTATGAAAATCGAATTCAACAATGCCAATAATGTTTTCAAATTCGACTTCTCCTTTCAAAAGCAGCTCAAATATAGAACATGTAAGAATGAACTATAGCCATTGAATTCTACCGTGCAAATATACTGTGCGTTATAGGGAAATAATGCACGCTCTAGAATGCCCTTCAAGCCAATGGTATAATGCCATGGCATAATTCAGCGACAATGCCCGAAAAGCCGGTGTTTCGAGTATATATTGGCAGGGGTGTTGTTAGGCCGGAGACGAAGTCGTGCCAATACAGTGCCTTCGGAAAGTATTCAGACCCTTTCCCTTTTTTCACATTTTGTTACATTACAGCCTTATTCTAAAATGGATTAAATAAATCAAAATCCTCAGCAATCTACACACAATACCCCATAATGACAAAGCGAAAACAGTTTGAAAATAAATAAAAATAGCAAATGTATTACAGAAATACCTTATTTACATAAGTATTCAGACCATTTGCTAGGAGACTCGAAATTGAGCTCAGGCGCATCCTGTTTCTATTGATCATCCTTGAGAAAATGGGAGATAACACACACACGCAGTGGCGCAGTGGTCTAAGGCACTGCATCGCAGTGCTAACTGTGCCACTAGAGATCCTGGTTCGAATCCAGGCTCTGTCGCAGCCGCCCGCGACCGGGAGACTAATGGGCGGCGCACAATTGGCCCAGCGTCGTCCAGGGTAGGGGAGGGAATGGCCGGCAGGGATGTAGCTCAGTTGATAGAGCATGGCGTTTGCAACGCCAGGGTTGTGGGTTCGATTCCCACGGGGGGCCAGTATATAAAAAATATGTAATCACTAACTGTAAGTCGCTCTGGATAAGAGCGTCTGCTAAATGACTAAAATGTAAATGTATAATGTCTAGATGCTTTTTACAGTGTAGATGTAGTATATAAATTGCGCAGTCAGATGGAACAGAGTAAATACGCATTTCAATCTCATAGATTTAGCCGGTGGGAACTTGTGGAACAGACACCGGCTGGAATGCGGTTTTAACCAATCAGCATCCAGGATTAGAACCACCCGTTGTATAAAAACGAATAGCGTATAGAACGCTTGTGGAAAGCAGCACGTCGACAACATTGTTGCATCCATCTGACCATGCAGAGTGAACGGCAAGAAAGTGCTCTCGACTCTGTAGTCGAACAACCGCTCTCTCCTTGAGTGACAGGGGGCGGGGCTTGGTGTGGTTCACAGCATGTAGCAGCAGGAAGGAGAGAGATGCCTCAAGTAGCAAACGGAGAGAAAACTATAAAAAAACGGACATTATACGCGCCGTAGTTGCGTATCACATTTAACAAACCAAACATTGAAATACAGTTATAGAAGGTAAAGTAACAATTCAAACCGGTCCGTGAATCACTACCGGTATATAGTCAAATACGGTACGCCACCCAACCCTACTTTGGCCCGGTCAGAATCAGCTGCCAACGGTCTGCTTGAATGCGTTTCCGTCTCGATCCGGTATACTGGAGAGATGTCGGCATAAACGCGTTAACATATTTGATGATGTAGTCCTCTGTAGCTCAGTTGGTAGAGCATGGCGCTTGCAACGCCAGGGTTGTGGGTTCGTTTCCCACGGGGGGGCCAGTATGAAAATGTATGCACTCACTAACTGTAAGTCGCTCTGGATAAGAGCGTCTGCTAAAATAACTAAAATGTAAAAATGTGTTGGCAGCTGCATAGGCTATTCTCGTTGAGCAGTGGCGACCATACTCTCTCTGTCCATCGCCGTTGTAATGTACTGGGAAGCCGAAATGTTCTCAAACTGGAGATTTAAACAATGATGGAGAATCCTCCTGGTTTAAATCGACACCACCACCCGCCATCGTACAGAACTAGTTAACGGCTGCGCCTCACATAAGGACAGTTTGAAATGTGCCAATTAAGAATTAGAATTTTGATTACAACGTGTGATAGGCTGTCGTTGCTTTAAAGGAATAGCCTGAAATGTTGTTGTGTTTTTAGCTCAGATTTACTCCACATAAAACGCAGCATAGTCTATAGGCCTAGTGTTTTTATTTTGTAAATAAATATATTTTTAATGTATTCATTCAGGCTCACAGGAGGTCCTGTACAAAACGGTTATGTGTGAATATGTGTACGGTTACACCCCTAACCACAACTAATTTGACCAATCTGGGAGGTAAAGTTGTTAAAGTATTCAATAATGTAGCCGTGTAGCCCTACGAACAACACTACGATATGCTCTCAGTCCAGCAGCAGGACATGATCAATTCCCATACTCCATAGTGACAACAGCCCTTCAGAGAGAGAGAGGCCATGCTACTCACCCTCCTCTCCTCAGGGATCTTGCCCTCTGCCTCAGGCTTGTCTCGGGCCTGTCGTAATACACTAACCCGAACCCCTACCCTAATCCATGCTACTCACCCTTCTCTCCTTGGGGATCTTGCCCTCTGCCTCCAGCTTGGCGCGGGCCTGTCTTCTCTTCAGGATGCGATGGTACTGTTTAGCGTTGACGTACAGCGGTTCCTCCTCTAACATCTCAGCCCCAGGTAGAGGGATACGCTGCATAGCAGGCACCGCACCCCCACTAGGCATCATCTAGCAGAGAGAGAGAGAGAGAGAGAGGGAGAGAGGAGAGAGAGAGAGAGAGAGAGAGAGAGAGAGAGAGAGGAGAGAGAGAGAGAGATGAGAGAGAGAGAGAGGGAGAGAGGAGGAGGAGGAGAGAGAGAGAGAGGAGGAGAGAGAGAGTGGGGAGAGGTGAGGGAGAGTAGAGGAGAAGAGAGGAGACATAGAAATCTGCTAAAAACACACAGATCGCTGGTTAATTGAACAATATTCAGATCAAACAACCCATCCACAGAGAGAAACTAAAATATGTGAATACAATTCTAAGCGCTGAAATTCTCAACTGCGTTATTCAATAACAAAACACGTGCTCTGAATAACACAGGTATCTAACACACTCACAGGCTCTGTAATAACCAGGTACTAACACACTACAGGCTCTGTAATAACAGGTACTAACACACTACGGGCTCTGTAATAACCGGTACTAACACACAACGGGCTCTGTAATAACCAGGTACTAACACACTACGGGCTCTGTAATAACCAGGTACTAACACACTACGGGCTCTGTAATAACCAGGTACTAACACACTACGGGCTCTGTAATAACCAGGTACTAACACACTACGGGCTCTGTAATAACCAGGTACTAACACACTACGGGCTCTGTAATAACCAGGTACTAACACACTACGGGCTCTGTAATAACCAGGTACTAACACACTACGGGCTCTGTAATAACCAGGTACTAACACACTACGGGCTCTGTAATAACCAGGTACTAACACACTACGGGCTCTGTAATAACCAGGTACTAACACACTACGGGCTCTGTAATAACCAGGTACTAACACACTACGGGCTCTGTAATAACCAGGTACTAACACACTACGGGCTCTGTAATAACCAGGTACTAACACACTACGGGCTCTGTAATAACCAGGTACTAACACACTACGGGCTCTGTAATAACCAGGTACTAACACACTACGGGCTCTGTAATAACCAGGTACTAACACACTACGGGCTCTGTAATAACCAGGTACTAACACACTACGGGCTCTGTAATAACCAGGTACTAACACACTACGGGCTCTGTAATAACCAGGTACTAACACACTACGGGCTCTGTAATAACCAGGTACTAACACACTACAGGCTCTGTAATAACCAGGTACTAACACACTACAGGCTCTGTAATAACCAGGTACCAACACACTACGGGCTCTGTAATAACCAGGTACTAACACACTACGGGCTCTGTAATAACCAGGTACTAACACACCATGTGACCCAACCCCCTCAGTGATCTAGGTAACAGGATGTCTGGGTATCCCTGATGGGGGCCTTACCATGACCATGCCACCGGCGTTCATCATGTTGCCTGAGACCGGCAGGGTGACGGTCACAGTGCCCTGCTGTCCACTGTTGGTGGTGGTGGTGTTGGCCCCCCCTGCCTGTACCATCTGGGCCCCCGCTAGGCTGCCTGCTGGGATGGTGATCATTCCTGGGGAGAAAAAAGGCCTCCTTATCACCACCACCTTCACCATTTTGTTTGATGGTTTGTTTGCTTGTGTGTGTGTGTTTGTGTGTGTGCGTCCATGCATGTCGGTGTGTGTGTGGCCGTACTGTAAACCTACCCTGTTGAAGGACGGTGCCGTCTGCGTTGACAGGCTGGTAGACGATGGTCTGTCCATCAGCCGTCTGCGCAAGCTGCTGGCCCTGCTGCAGCTGGATCTGCTGGCCCTGCTGCAGCTGGATCTGCTGGCCCTATAGGAACACACAGGACCGGGTCATATACGGTGACAAGTAAAGGAAGTAGCCTTGCATGAGCCTTGGCTTGTGCGAGCCACAACGACTCATAGGAGCAGGAGCCTATCTCCTGTGTCTGTAGTGTGAGGCAGCTTGTTGTACAAGTACAGGGACAGGCGACTATCGCAGGGCCTTCCCCCCCTCCATTCTATCTCCTTAATGCTATAAACTGTATTCAAAACTCTATCAAATTGTATTGGTCCCGTGCACATATTTTGCAGATGTTATCGCGGCTGTAGCGAGATGATTATGTTCCTAGCTCCAACAGTGCAGTAACACAGCACAATAGAAAACAATACACACAATTCCAACAACTAAATAGAAAAGGAATTAAGAAATATAGAATATAATCATAATACACGGTGCATTCGGAAAGTATACAGACCCTTAGACATTTTCCACATTTTGTTACGTTACAGCCGTATTCTAAAATGGGTTAAAATGTTGTTGTTTTTCCCCCCTTCCATCATCAATCTACAAACAATACATAATAATGACAAAGCAAAAACTGTTTTTAAGAAATTTTAGCAAATGTATATAAAATAAATGAAATATCACATTTACATAAGTATTCAGACCCTTTACTCAGTACTTTGTTGAAGCACCTTTGGCTGCGATTACAGCCTCGGGTCTTCTTGGGTATGGCGCTGCAAGCTTGGCACACCTGTATTTGGGGAGGTTCTCCCATTCTTCTTTGCAGAAGTCTTAGGTCCAGTCTGAGGTCTGGAGTAGGTTTTCATCAAGGATCTCTCTGTACTTTGCCCGACATCATCTTTCCCTCGACCCTGACTAGTCTCCCAGTCCCTTCCGCTGACAAACATCCCCACAGCATGATGCTGCCACCACCATGCTTCACCATAGGGATGGTGCCATGTTTCCTCCAGACGTGACGCTTGGCATTCAGGCCAAAGAGTTCAATCTTGGTTTCATCAGACCAGAGAATCTTGTTTCTAATGGTCTGAGAGTCCTTTAGGTACCTTTTGGCAAACTCCAAGCGGGCTGTCATATGACTTTTACTGAGGAGTGGCTTCCGTCTGACTACTCTACCATAAAAGGCCTGATTGGTGGAGTGATGCAGAGATGGTTGTCCTTCTGGAAGGTTCTCCCATCTCCACAGAGGATCTCTGGAGCTCTGTCAGAGTGACCATCAGGTTCTTGGTCACCTCCCTGACCAAGGCCCTTCTCCCCCAATTGCTCAGTTTGGCCGGGCGGCCAGCTCTAGGAAGAGTCGTGGTGGTCCCAAACTTATTCCATGGAGGAGGCCACTGTGTTCTTGGGGAGCTTCAATGCTGCAGACATTTTTTGGTACCCTTCCCCAGATCTGTGCCTTAACACAATCCTGTCTCGGAGCTCTACGGACAATTCCTTTGACCTCATGGCTTGGTTTTTGCTCGGACATGCACTGTCAACTGTGGGACCTTATATAGACAGGTGTGTGCCTTTCCAAATCATGTCCAATCAATTGAATTTACCACAGGTGGACTCCAAATCAAGTTGTAGAAACATCTCAAGGATGATCAATGGAAACAGTATGCACCTGAGCTCAATTTCGAGTATCATTGCAAAGGGTCTGAATAATTTCTAAAAACCTGTTTTCACTTTGTCATTATGGGGCATTGTGTGTAGATTGATGAGGATTTTTATTTATTTAATACATTTTAGAATAAGGCTGTAACGTACCAAAATGTGGAAAAAGTCTAAGGGTCTGAATACTTTCCGAATGCACTGTATATAATATATACACACTACCAGTCAAAAGTTTGGACACACCTACTCATTCAAATTCAAGGGTTTTTCTTTATTTTTACATTGTAGAATAATAGTGAAGACATCAAAACTATGAAACAACACATATGGAATTACGTAGTAAACAAAAAAGTGTTGAACAAATCAAAATATATTTTATATAGAGTTACTAGCCTCAGAAATTGCAGCCCAAATAAATGCTTCACAGAGTTCAAGTCACAGACACATCTCAACATCAACTGTTCAGAGGGGACTGTGTGAATCAGGCCTTCATGGTCGAATTGCTGCAAAGAAACCACTACTAAAGGACACCAATAAGAAGAAGAGACCTGCTTGGGCCAAGAAACACGAGCAATGAACATTTGGTCTGGAGTCCAAATTTGAGATTTTTGGTTCCAACCGCCATGGCTTTGTGAGATGCGGTGTGGGTGAACGGATGATCTCTGCATGTGTAGTTCCCACCGTAAAGCATGGAGGAGGTGGTGTTATGGTGTGGGGGTGCTTTGCTGGTGACACTGTCTGTGATTTATTTAGAATTCAAGGCACACTTAACCAGCATGGCTACCACAGTATTCTGCAGCGATACGCCATCCCATCTGGTTTGGGCTTAGTGGGACTATCATTTGTTTTTCAACAGGACAATGACCCAACACACCTCCAGGCGGTGTAAGGGCTATTTTACCAAGAAGGAGAGTGATGGAGTGCTGCATCAGATAACCTGGCCTCCACAATCCCCCGACCTCAACCCAATTGAGATGGTTTGGAATGAGTCGGACGGCAGAGTGAAGGAAAAGCAGCCAACAAGAGCTAAGCATATGTGGGAACTCCTTCAAGACTGTTGGAAAAGCATTCCAGGTGAAGCTGGTTGAGAGAATGCCAAGAGTGTGCAAAGCTGTCATCAAGGCAAAGGGTGGCTATTTTAAGAATCTCAAATATAAAATATGTTTTGATTTGTTTAACACTTTTTTGGTTACTACATGATTCCATATGTGTTATTTCATAGTTTTGATGTCTTCACTATTATTCTACAATGTAGAAAATAGTAAAAATAAAGAAAAACGCTTGAATGAGTAGGTGTGTCCAAACTTTTGACTGGTACTGTATATATAATTATAATATAATTCCTATTGGACTGAACCAACAAGGGGATTTTTCCCTTTTTAAAGGTATATACACTCAGTGGCCAGTTTATTAGGTACACCCATCTAGTACCGGATCCAACCCCCGTTGCCTCCAGAACAGCCGGAATTCTTCGGGGCATGGGAAACGTTACTAAATTTCTATCAAGGCACCTAACGTGTGCCAGGAAAACGTTCCCCACACCATTACACCACCACCACCAGCCTGTACCGTTGACACCAGGCAGAATGGGAGCATGGACTCTTACGCCAAACCCTGACTCTGCCATCAGCATGATGCAACAGGAACAGGGATTCGTCGGACCAGGCAATGTTTTTCCACTCATCAGTGTTGGTGATTGCCAGCCCACTGGAGCTGCTTCTTCTTGCTTTTAGCTGATAGGAGTGGAACCCGCTGTGGTCGTCTGCTGCAATTGCTCATCCGTGACAAGGGCCGACGAGTTGTGCGTTCCGAGATGCCGTTATTTGCCTGTTTGTGGCCCGCCTGTTATTTTTGCACGATTCTTGCCATTCTCCTTCGACCTCTCATCAACATGCTGTTTTTCGCCCACAGGACTGCAGCTGACTGTTTTTTTATTTGTCGCACTATTCTCTGTAAACCCTAGACACTGTCATGTGTGAAAAGCCCAGGAGGCCGGCCGTTTCTGAGATACTGGAACCGGCACGCCTGGCACCGACGATCATACCACACTCAAAGTCTCTTAGGTCACTCGTTTTGCCTATTCTAACAGTCAATCGGACTACTGAGTGTACTGTATATATTGCATAGGATTGAAGCTGAACATCTGTGGCCTTGCTGCAGCTGGATCAGCTGACCCATGAATCAGTGTCAATAAGAGATTTGTACTTACATTGTAGTTCATCATGTGGAGGTTGAACTAAAGTAAGTTCAAATTCAGACTTAAATGCTGATGGTGTCACATTGTCCCAATACAGGAAGTGTGTCATTAGAAGTGTGTCTAGGTGTATACCTTTCAGAGTGTGTGTGTGTGTGTGTACCTGGTTCTGTCCGGCTGTGATGGCTTGTTGTGGCTGTTGGATAATGATCTGTTGGGGCTGACCCTGCTGTCCCCCTAGCTGTAACATCTGGCCGTTCTGCAGCTGGATCTGCTGTCCCCCTAGATGGATCGTCTGACCGTTCTGCAGCTGGATCTGCTGTCCACCCTGTAGCTGGATCTGACAGTGAAACATGATCAGATGATAGCGTGTTCATAATATCATGCCAACTCCCGACTCTAGCTCAAAGGAATATGATTACTAGAATAGGAAAAGACCCTAAGAACACTGCAATTTGACTGGATTCTCATAATTGAATGGGTTCTAGTAATTATATTTCTATGGTTTCCTCCCATCCCATTCCTCACCTGTTGCAGTCCCTGTCCTCCAGACACTGGCACCTGCATGATGGTCTGTCCCTGCCCCCCCCCCATAGCCTGCACCATGATGGGTTGCCCTGACGACGTGATCAGCTGCCCTCCGCTCACCTGCACCACCAGGGGCTGGCCCTGGACCTGTGGTGGGGGGGATGGTTAAAGTTGATACATTCATTCCTAGATAATCATATACATTGAGTGTACAGAACATTAAGAACACCTTCCTAAAACTGAATTTGAACACCTTCCTAAAACCCCTTGCCCTCAGAACATCCTCAATTCGTTGGGGGCATGGACTCTACAAGGTGTCAAAAGCATTCCACAGGGATGCAGGCCAATGTTGGTTGGATGTCCTTTGGGTGGTGGACCATTCTTGATACACACGGGAAACTGTTGAGCGTGAAAAACACAGAAGCATTGCTGTTCTTGGCACAAACCGGTGCGCCTGGCACCTACTACCATAACCCGCTCAAAGGCAATTAAATATTTTGTCTTGCCCATTCACCCTCTGAATGGCACACATACACAATCCATGTCTCAATTGTCTCAAGGATACAAAATCCTCATTTAACCTGTGTCCTCCCCTTCATCTACACTGATTGAAGTGGACTTAACAAGTGACATCAATAAGGGATCATAGCTTTCACCTGGATAGTCTATGTCATGGAAAAAGCAGGTGTTCATAATATTTTGTACACTCAGTGTGTACTATAACTGTGCAGTTTCATGTCACAGCCAGAGCACTGATATAACACCAAGCATGTCATTAAGACTTAGAATGTAATTCCTGTTTTAGACCGTAAAATGATGAACACATGAACCAGTAGACAGTGTAAGCGGATCATAGCGTGAACGATGGTGAACAACTCTGGCAAATGGCCATAATATGATGGTCAATCCGATGTTTCAGACTGTTGCTAGTACCTTCGTGGATGACTCGGACTAACTCAATCAAGTCACTGAGCTGGGGCATGCAGCTCAGAGCAGCGATAGCATGCTAGGGCAGCTACCACGGAGATGGGGCATGGTAATCATGGTAGGCGAGAGGCATGCTGTGACACTGTGACACTAACGCAGTGCGATGTAATACATAGACCGACGGTCACACCACTACCTGGAGTGTCTGCACCTGCTGGCCAGAGGCCGTCAATACCGGCGCCTCGGTCTGCAGCTGCACAGCCGTCACTGTGCCCTGAGTCTGCAGACAAGGTCATGTTCATTAGGGCACGAAAAAACGGAAACCGTTTCAAAGCATTTTTTGTAACGGAAAACAGAAATGAGCATTTCTTATTTGACAAGCCCCTAAATCCAGGTAGTCCCTCCCTGTTTCATTCCGTTCTCTGATGTTTGGTGCCTAATGAACACAGAACAAGGTACAGCTAGAGTTGACTCATCCCAGAAGTCTCAGAGATTAGATGTAATTATTTTATATAAATCAATTGCCTAAAAAGGACACTTCTCATGGTATTCAGTTGTTGTACCGCAGTAAAGTCTGGTTGAGAATCACCAGCTCAGGCTGGAACCGTTGCCCCTCACCTGTTGTTGGATCTGTCCATTGGATGTCTGCACGACTATCTGCTCCCCAGTCGAGGTGGTGGCGGTGGTGTACTCCATGGTCAGTTAGTCACAGTCCTTCCTATCATTGTCAAAATACAGAGTTTGGTCAATCAAATTGGAGGCAGAGTGACAAATTATGCATACAAGGGAATCTCCAAAACAAGCTGGGATGTCAAACCCAAACGGTCACACAAGCAATCATAGGCTACGAGGTTGTTGTAGTCACATATAAGAGGAAAAATACTATGATTGATTGTTGGGTATTAGGTGGACTAGCTAAACAGTCACCATTTCAGGGGATTTGTGGAACACACGCGTTCAAAGAATCATGTGTTTTCCGGGTCTTGTTCCTCATGTAATGATTTAGCTGAGGGGAGGGGAGTACATCGTCGAGTACAAGCATTTCGCTACACCCGCAATAACATCTGCTTAATATTTGGTATGTGACAAATAAAATTGTTTGATTTTGACATTTTTGAAATCAACAGAATGGGCTACATAGTACATAATTCAGCAAACGAATACAAATGCTAGCTAACGTTTAAGATTTGTTGAAGGACATCTTGCAGCGTGTGCTTTGTTTTGTCTTTGTTGTTCGCTAGCTTTACTGTTGCTAGCTTCACAGCTAACGTTAGCTAGCTTGAGATAAGGCGCAAAAATTACATTAGGTAACTGGCTGGCTGGATAGTTGACTAGCTAGTTAGCTTAGCTAGCATGTTATCTCAGTGGGCTGTAAAGGCTCACATAAAGAACGGATGCATGTTGAAAATGCATGAATGTTACAAAACAGCACATTATTTATTGGATTTATTCAAAGCTAACGTTGTACGTTGTATCATGCAAATATGTCTCAGTCGCCCCTCCGGTTATGTAGCACGGAATTTGTTGTACTAAAATCATACTGAAATCTTTACAGTTCAAAAAATACAACGTTGATATGCTTCAACGTTCGATTCCTGTATTTTGTAGAGTTAGTAATTTGGTTGGTCAATGACAAACCAATCCGTGCTGACAACTACCATAGGGCTTCTATTACCGTTTCTTCGCTGTCCGGTATCCCTCTGATTGGCTCCAGTACAGGGTTCCAAAGCCCAATCACCAAAGTGAGCAGACAAAATGGCGCAAATGAAACAACAGCGACGTCCGAAGAGACGCATGTGATCGTTGAGGCGAAGAAAGACGAAGATTGCCGATCTACAACCCGGCAGATGACGCAATTGGTTCAGTATGTAATCTCCTACCTCAATGGTAATCTCTCTTTACCAAATGTTACCACTGCATACATACATGGGTTAATATTCATAAATATCGATACATTTAAATAAATTATGGTTTGTTGTTGTTTGGTATTTTCGACCAAGTAGTCACTGATATGTATAGTTTTTTTCAACACCCCACTCCAGTAGATGGCAGTATGAGGAAATATAGGTTGTTTGCCACTCGCGACTCTGTTTGCGGAAGTGCTACATTGTTTCCACGAGACAAGCAGGTCTAGACTGAAATGTTGCTAAAGAAAGCAGGATAATCTTATTTGGGTGAATACAATTGTTAATCATTTCTATCTATGTTGGCTAGACACCTGGCTATTGTTTGAATACTTTGTGAGATGTGAATCGGCTGTAGCAGTAAGAGGCGTATGTAGTTAGCTAAGGTATTTGGCTCTGTATACTAGCCAAGGTTACTTTCCATTGGCTTTGAGGTTATTTCAGCGAGCTGAACTTTTTAGCTAAGTAGCTAACTAGATCAGACCTGAATGGACGTGCTGGGCAAATCGGCTAGATAGAAAATGTTGAGCATTTCTGACCCTGTGTTTCTTCATCCAGTAGTGTCTGGTGACCAGTGGTGAGCCTTCAGAATAGCCATGATGTCTTTCAGGATGGTCTCCTTGATAGCATCCAGGCTTGGCAAACTGTCAGTGATGCCCACAGTGTCTACAAGGAACTGTAGTCGACATGTCAGCAGAGATGCCAGCAAGGCCTGGATGGGACAGAGCCAGACACACAGGACCTCAGCCCACAGACACCGAGGGAAGGAGGAGAGGTTTGAAGAAGAAGATCCAGATATGGACGATGTAGACGACAAGGTCCAGGCTGTGCTCAGGTGAGAAACATTTATCCTAAACTGAACCATAGGCTTAGCTTGGTCCCAGGTCTTTTTGAGCTGTCTTTCTGACAACAACCATGAGACTGTTGGCGATGCATACAGCACAAACAGATCTGGGACCACCAGGCTATTGAAGGGTGCCAATCTACACACCAGCCACTTTCACCCAGTCAGTGATAGGCCTACACAGTATCTAAGATAATATCATACATTTATTAAGTCATCACTCCACACTCGTAATGCAACTAGGCCTAATGCCGTCTGTCATCATCTTCCCTGTGTAGTGAAGAGAGGAGGAGACGGAGGACGGTGAAGTACCATATAGTCAGGAGACAGCTGACTGAGTCTGGAGCTCCAGAGAGGAGGCTGAGTTGGGACGCCATGGAGCAGGTCAGGTGAGGAAGGGTGAAATGTTACAAAATATTCCGAAATAAATTACATATGTATGACGTGTTTGATTGTCTGTCAGGTAGACTAGGGAGTCGTGTCAGCTCTATCTGCAATGTTGTGAACATTTTGCCTCAATGACTGACTACACCAATGACTGACTACACCAATGACTACACCCCAGGTATCTGAAGCAGGAGCTACCAGAGGAATGGACCGTTGACCGTCTGGCCGAGGGATTCTCCGTCCATCGTGACGTCATCCTACGAGTCCTGAGGAGCAAGTTCATCCCCACCCCAGAGAGGAAAGCTAAACAGGACGCCAGCGTGTGGGCCAGGCTGAGACAGCAGGCTTTACCTGGTGGTGGAGGGTCAGGGGGACAGGGCAGGCAGCAAGCCCTACCTGGGGGTGGAGCAGGGGAACAGGGCAGGCAGCAAGCCCTACCTGGGGGTGGAGCAGGGGAACAGGGCAGGCAGCAAGCCCTACCTGGGGGTGGAGCAGGGGGGCAGGGCAGGCAGCAAGCCCTACCTGGGGGTGGAGCAGGGGAACAGGGCAGGCAGCAAGCCCTACCTGGGGGTGGAGCAGGGGGGCAGGGCAGGCAGCAAGCCCTACCTGGTGGTGGAGGGTCAGAGGGACCGGGCAGATCACAGCTGCCTGGCTCTGGACACAGCAGTAGCAAACTAGCCATGCTGCCCATAGGAAGTGGCACTGGTGCCCTGGTCACCCTGGCTAGCCACAGTAGCCAGAGTCTGATAGCCAGGGACTTGGAGGATGGCCCTGACCCAAGAGCCATGATGACTACTGCCAATAGTCCTGCTGCTCCTCTCAGCTCAGTACCCACCCAGCTCTCAACATCACCAACCCTGCACATCAGACGCACCTCAGGACAAGACAACTCTAGAGAGGAGTGGGAGGAAGAGGACAATGTGTTGGAGAAGGTCGAGGAGAAAGAGGAGAGATGGGATGGAAGGGTGTTTTCAGAGGAAGAACTGGAGGAACTAATGCTGTCAACAAAGCCCTCGCCGGTGGTACAGAACGGGAAAGAGTTCTTTGACAGTGTAGGAAACTTCCTGTACAGAATCTGAGATGGCAAAATGGCACCCTATTCCCTATATAGTGCACTACTTTTGACCAGGGCACTATGTGTGCCATTTTCAGAAGTAGCCTGAGATTTTACATTTACATCATTTAGCAGACGCTCGTATCCAGAGCGACTTACAAATTGGTGTTGTTAATGTTGTTCATAAATACAATGCAGTAGACTTCTGTTGGAAGATGCCGGAGACTGATTATGCCGCAAACCAATAAAGCACTATTTACAATGTATGGGTTAGTCACAAGTTTTGATTGTAATTAATTCTATAATTTAATTGTTTTCTTGAATGTTGCACATGTTGACATTGGCATGAAATGTAATTTTAACACATTGTTAGTCCAGAAAAAATGAGGCAAAAATTTCAAAGGGACAAGTTAATTTATTGGTCGTCCAACCCAAAGCAAAATTGTCTCAAATATACAGAACAAGAGATATACAGCCGATACCAAGATTCAACAATTGAGCAATCATCACAATTATTTCTTTATATAGCCATTTTAAAATGTAGGAAAAGTGTCTCACCTCTCAAATCAAGACATAAAACCAGCATGATTAAATAGGAATTAATAATTGAGAACAAGTGTCTTCCCAGTGTTAACGACTACAGTACAGGTGTTGGCTTTAAGGCCAATCGACATTTAGCCATATCTTTCAGTCCTGTGCAAGTGCAGAGATGGTATTGTACAAACCAAACACCAAATATAGGTTGGATTATAAATTGGATGAAACATTGCATTTGTATGTTTCACAGTGGACAAATCAAGTTGTATTGCATGACAAGGGAATCAAATTGGTGTTTGTTTCCATTTCCCACTGCTTTATGGATGGGAGAGTAGTCACAGAACAGTTCTCCTGAACAAAAGGGTAGTTGGTATTGAAGGGAGCTTCATTTGAGGTGAAATCCTTATTGACATAATTACAGTAAGTGCAATCTAGTGGTGTCAATGACAAAGTGGATGCAACAGGGTGCATCCTATTGGCCCTTACACAGACATCTGATATCTAGGGTGCATCCTATTGGCCCAGGTCAAAAGTAGTCCTCTGTATAGGGAATAAGGTTCCATTTGGGATGCACCCTTAGAATCTATTATAGACAGTACGTACAGTTCCACTCATTGGGAAGGCACAGACCCCCGCCCCCATACTAGACAGACCCCGCCCCCATACTAGACAGACCCCGCCCCCATACTAGACAGACCCCGCCCCCATACTAGACAGACCCCGCCCCCATACTAGACAGACCCCGCCCCCATACTAGACAGACCTTACCCTCAAATGTGCTTCTGAGGCTAGAATGACCCTGTCTCTGTGAAACTGTCGATGACCTTCTCAGGTAATGTGGTGACCCCAAATAAATATGTGATTCAGTAGAATTAGCTAATCTCATATTCAGATAGGCGCTACAGTACATTTTTACATTTTAGTCATTTAGCAGACGCTCTTATCCAGAGCGACTTACAGTTAGTGAGTGCATACATTTTTTAATATATTTTTTTATACTGGCCGCCCGTGGGAATCGAACCCACAACCCTGGCGTTGCAAACGCCATGCTCTACCGACTGAGCTACACGGGACATAGAGGTCTGTTCTACACACTGAAAACAGACTAGACGGGACATAGAGGTCTGTTCTACACACTGAAAACAGGCTAGACGGGACATAGAGGTCTGTTCTACACACTGAAAACCGGCTAGACATCGTACAACATTGTTAGCTTTATGAAACCACTTCTTCTAGCAAACTGCTTCGTCAAAGACGTCCAGATCTATGTACTACATTTCTAAATGTGATCTTAGTGCCTCTGAGTTTACCCCCATTGTCCTGTGTATTCCAATGATTGATTCCTATTGTCCTTCACTTTTGGATCTACTTTCAATAGTGTAGGATTAGCTGAACATATTAAACAGAGGCATAGAGGAGGCGTAATATCTATTTGTACACTACATTTTCTCCCTCTGACTAACTAAAACAGACAGTAGGACCTTGTGCTTTAGTCACAATTGCATGTTTAGATAAACTTCTATTGTTCCAATACAGTCACATCATAACTGGAGATGCACGCAACACATTTTGTATTACCCCATTGACATCAATGCATGATTTAGGAGGTGAAAGTTTGAGTCAGATACACATTTCCCATGTTAGGATTCGTCCCTTTAGTTCAGTCTAGTTTAGAGGAGGCGGTTGACTCCTGCTATGAAAGCTTAGTGTGTTGACACAGTGTATCTAAACATGTTATTGCTATCAAACTTTAAAATGCTTATAAATATTTATTATTTAGGCAAAATACTAAAAAATAATTTTGCCAAGCCACGGTACCCAACAGCAACCTATTTACCATGTCCCCGACCCCGAGTCACATCAATGAAAAAGGAAAAGATCTTTATGTAAGTGCAGGGGAGGAGAGGGAAGGGGAGGAGAGGGGAGGGGGAAACAGGAAAAGTCTTAACTAGAAGCGTATACTTAATATTCCCAAGATCCCCAGTACCAAGCAATGGGAGACGCATGTATAACCTGTAATGTCATGTTGTTTACGTTCACTTGGTTGAAAAAGATAGCATTATGTTGTTAAGAGAAGATGATGCTGCTGATGATGAAACAGCTTCTACACAGCAGTTCCAGAGATCCATTATTTCAGGTTCACCAGCAGTCCAGAACTACCACATCATTCCATCACTCAATTGTCCTCAACGGAAAAGGAACTTGGAGAATAAATTCTAAAATCAACCACAACAACACTACTGGTCCCCTTGCTCTCCTGCTGAACTCTGGATGTGTCTCACTCAGATCAGAAAGCCTCATTGGATACCTCACTGATGAGAGCGGCATTAGAAGGACTCTCCGCCAGGCGCTGTAAGGTCAGAGGTTAGAATTCAAGGGTCATGGTGGGGGGGGGGGAGTAGCAGGAAGCGAAGGAGAAAAAGCAGCAGCGAGCCTCTGGGTGTACACATAGGAGAAACTTGTTCTTCAATGTAGAGCAGTGAGCCTCAGGACAGACAGGAGACTAGATTCCCCTTGTAGCTTCTGGGTTGTAAAGGAGAGACCGGAGGCTAGTAGTTACTCCTGGTAGCTGCAAATGCCACCTGTTACTCCAGAAGATCCTAGAGACACACAGAGAACAAACAACATTCAGAAAACATTCCTATGAAAGTGGACTTTTAACAGAAATGACTAGAGAAAAAACACTGAGGCAAAGGAGAGTCACGACCAACCCTTCACCAGGGGATTGATGTAAATCGTAGCTTTTTAATAAGTGCTGAGGCCATACAAAAAAAAGGATGTTTAGGTGTGTGTGTTTGTACCATTACCTCGTCTGAATCGTCGTGGCAGCCGGTCTTGTTGCCAGCCTGAGTGTGGTTGCTATCTAGTGACTCGTCTACTCCGTCTCCCTGGGCCTCAGCATGCTGCTGTAGGACTGAGTACCTGTGTACCAGGAACCTGGGGGAGCCAATCAAAACACACTCTGAGCCACTTGCAACCTTTTCACACATCATTGTGCCAACCAGAACCAAACGGTGCTGGCTCAGATATTTTCAGTTTTTCACTTGGTTTGCATGAGTAACCGGCTCTGATCTAAAACAACAACAACAACAACAGCTCTGGTCTTAAACAACAACATCAACAACAGCTCTGATCTTAAACAACAACAGCTCTGATCTTAAACAACAACAACAACAACAGCTCAGATTATTATATATTATATTATTATTATTATTAAACAACAACAGCTCAGATCTTAAACAACAACAGCTCGGATATTAAACAACAACAGCTCTGATCTTAAACAACACCAACAACAGCTGTGATCTTAAACAACAACAGCTGTGATCTAAACAACAACAGTATAGCTGGTTTGCTATGTACTGATCTAAACAACAACAACAACAACAGTACAGCTTGGTTTGCTATGTACTGATCTTAAAACAACAACAGTACAGCTTGGTTTGCTATGTACTGATCTAAACAACAACAACAACAACAGTACAGCTTGGTTTGCTATGTACTGATCTAAACAACAACAACAACAACAACAGTATAGCTTGGTTTGCTATGTACTGATCTAAACAACAACAGCATACTGAATCATAAAGACAGTTGCTGTACTGACCTTCCACCGCAGACGTACTTCTTGATGAAGAGGACCCCAGCTACGATACTGAGTAGCAAAATGATTAGAACCGTCACTACGATGGGTGCAGAGCTGGACAGATGGCCGTCCGTCTGTAGGAGGGGAGAGATACAGAGAGAGAGAGAGAGTCAGACCAACTCTTCCATCGTCGTCATGCTGTATACATAGAGAGACAGATCAACTCTTCCATCGTCGTCATGCTGTATACATAGAGAGTCAGATCTTCCATCGTCGTCATGCTGTATACATAGAGAGTCAGATCTTCCATCGTCGTCATGCTGTATACATAGAGAGTCAGATCTTCCATCGTCGTCATGCTGTATACATAGAGAGTCAGATCAACTCTTCCATCGTCGTCATGCTGTATACATAGAGAGTCAGATCTTCCATCGTCGTCATGCTGTATACATAGAGAGTCAGATCTTCCATCGTCGTCATGCTGTATACATAGAGAGTCAGATCTTCCATCGTCGTCATGCTGTATACATAGAGAGTCAGATCTTCCATCGTCGTCATGCTGTATACATAGAGAGTCAGATCTTCCATCGTCGTCATGCTGTATACATAGAGAGACAGATCAACTCTTCCATCGTCGTCATGCTGTATACATAGAGAGTCAGATCTTCCATCGTCGTCATGCTGTATACATAGAGAGTCAGATCTTCCATCGTCGTCATGCTGTATACATAGAGTCAGATCTTCCATCGTCGTCATGCTGTATACATAGAGAGTCAGATCTTCCATCGTCGTCATGCTGTATACATAGAGAGTCAGATCTTCCATCGTCGTCATGCTGTATACATAGAGAGTCAGATCTTCCATCGTCGTCATGCTGTATACATAGAGAGTCAGATCTTCCATCGTCGTCATGCTGTATACATAGAAGTCAGATCTTCCATCGTCGTCATGCTGTATACATAGAGAGTCAGATCTTCCATCGTCGTCATGCTGTATACATAGAGAGATCAGATCTTCCATCGTCGTCATGCTGTATACATAGAGAGTCAGATCTTCCATCGTCGTCATGCTGTATACATAGAGAGTCAGATCTTCCATCGTCGTCATGCTGTATACATAGAGAGTCAGATCTTCCATCGTCGTCATGCTGTATACATAGAGAGTCAGATCTTCCTTCATAGAGTCAGTCTTCCATCGTCGTCATGCTGTATACATAGAGAGTCAGATCTTCCATCGTCGTCATGCTGTATACATAGAGAGTCAGATCTTCCATCGTCGTCATGCTGTATACATAGAGAGTCAGATCTTCCATCGTCGTCATGCTGTATACATAGAGAGTCAGATCTTCCATCGTCGTCATGCTGTATACATAGGGAGTCAGATCTTCCATCGTCGTCATGCTGTATACATAGAGAGTCAGATCTTCCATCGTCGTCATGCTGTATACATAGGGAGTCAGATCAACTCTTCCAAAATGTTTAAGTGATTCCACGTTCAAACTGCCCTTGTTACGTAAGTTGTCAAATTCAATAAATGTTATGCAAGGTCTTCCTTCTATTATTTTTTGACATTCTAGAACAGGACCAGCGAGAACCAGTGTGGACCACTGAAGACCAGTGAGAACCAGTGTGGACCACTGAAGACCAGTGAGAACCAGTGGCCATCTCTACTCACCAGTAGATCCTGCGGTCCCAGCAGGTCACTGACACACCTCATACTGAGGTCGATCTCTTTCCTCTCCGGCTGAGTTCCTCCCTCACACTTATCCCCAGGGATTTTCCTATAGCTGTGGACCAGGAGGGCATGGTTAGTGGTCAGTCATGGTCACACAGAGAGTATCTTAGTGGAGGTGATTCGATGATCCACACTGTAATGAGTAGCTTTGTCTGATTAGTTACCTTGTCTGAGACCGGTAGACTTGTGTTAGCTCCCCAAGCTAATTCCTAGACTTTAGCTCAGTGGCTAACACAGTCTTGTAAAGCGCAGCGCAGGAGATCCAGGTTGGAACAGAGAGACTAAAGCCTTACCCTCTGGTCTGCAGTAACTCCTTCTTGCCCTGCAGACAGAACTCCAGAACGTGGCCCTTCAGGTCCGGCTGCTCCACACACTCGGGGCTGTTCTCTTTACGATAGTACCCAAAGTCACTGCAGGGGGGCAGCGTGGAGCAGGTTAGACAGACAGACAGACAGACAGACAGACAGGCAGGCAGGCAGGCAGGCAGGCAGGCAGGCAGGCAGGCAGGCAGGCAGGCAGGCAGGCAGGCAGGCAGGCAGGCAGGCAGGCAGGCAGGCAGGCAGGCAGGCAGGCAGACAGACAGACAGGGACAGCAGGCAGACAGCACAGTTAGTGGTGTTGAAAAAAGTTGAACAATTACTATTCTGCCTGGAGCTAGGGTGACCACCACAATGTACTGGAGCTAGGGTGACCACCACAGTGTACTGTAGCTAGGGTGACCACCACAATGTACTGTAGCTAGGGTGACCACCACAATGTACTGGAGCTAGGGTGACCACCACAATGTACTGGAGCTAGGGTGACCACCACAGTGTACTGGAGCTAGGGTGACCACCACAGTGTACTGTAGCTAGGGTGACCACCACAATGTACTGTAGCTAGGGTGACCACCACAGTGTACTGTAGCTAGGGTGACCACCACAGTGTACTGTAGCTAGGGTGACCAACACAGTGTACTGGAGCTAGGGTGACCACCACAATGTACTGGAGCTAGGGTGACCACCACAATGTACTGGAGCTAGGGTGACCACCACAATGTACTGGAGCTAGGGTGACCACCACAATGTACTGTAGCTAGGGTGACCACCACAGTGTACTGTAGCTAGGGTGACCACCACAGTGTACTGTAGCTAGGGTGACCACCACAATGTACTGGAGCTAGGGTGACCACCACAGTGTACTGGAGCTAGGGTGACCACCACAGTGTACTGGAGCTAGGGTGACCACCACAGTGTACTGTAGCTAGGGTGACCACCACAGTGTACTGGAGCTAGGGTGACCACCACAATGTACTGGAGCTAGGGTGACCACCACAATGTACTGGAGCTAGGGTGACCACCACAATGTACTGTAGCTGACTGAAACATATGTAGCAGACGGTAAAGTTCGCCCAACTTTAAATCATTGTGGCTAAGTTCCCATCTCCATACTACCATACCACTTAGAATGCATGCCCAATACAACACTTGGTCCTAGGTAGTATACTAGTGTGGATATCGGAACAGATTCATGACTACACTACTCACCATTGGAAGTCATCCAGGGTGCAGGGGCAGGGGGTGGGTTGCTTGTTGACCTCATAGTCCCGTCCGTTCCAGCAGACGGAGGCCTTCCTCAGACGCAGGAACTTCTCCTTATAACCCAACATACAGCCGTCGTTAGGGTCGCTGATGTCATCAGAGTGCGCCAGCCACTGCACGTAGTCCTGGTCCTCACCTGAGAAACAGACATGAGTCTGCATGAGGCTTTAGTTCAGTGGGCTAACACAGACCTGTGACGTGCTGGAGACCAGGGAGCCGTCTCATACAGCAGCTTTATTCCCTGGTACTGGGTATTCATAGTATTATAATGCATGTCTAGGTACTGGGTACTCATAGTGTTATAATGCATTTCTGGGTACTGGGTACTCAGTGTCATAATGCATGTATAGGTACTGGGTACTCAGTGTTATAATGCATGTCTAGGTACTGGGTACTCATAGTGTTATAATGCATGTCTAGGTACTGGGTACTCAGTGTTATAATGCATGTCTAGGTACTGGGTACTCAGTGTTATAATGCATGTCTAGGTACTGGGTACTCAGTGTTATAATGCATGTCTAGGTACTGGGTACTCAGTGTTATAATGCATGTCTAGGTACTGGGTACTCAGTGTTATAATGCATGTCTATATCACATCACGTTTAGCCTGGTTGGGGGGCGGCAGGTAGCTTAGTGGGTAAGACCGAAAGGTCGCTGGTTCTAATCCCCGAGCCGACTAGGTGAAAAATCTGTCGATGTGCCCTTAAGCAAGGCACTTAACCCTAATTGCTCCTGTAAGTCGCTCTGGATAAGAGCGTCTGCTAAATGACTAAAATGTAAATGTAAATGGTTGGTTTGCCATTAGCCTACACAGTAACTGTATCCCATGGTATTACTAGTACTGGTACTCACAGTCTCTAGTGAGCAGCTCTCTGAAGTCGATGGTGACGGATACCCAGTACTGACTGAGCAGAGCATCTCTGTAGCCCCAGACACTGACGTTCATGGACCTCGCCCCCGGCTCCGACGCTAGCCCTGTGAAGTGGATGGGGTCGCTAGTGAACTGGTGAACATGCCAGCACTGGCCCTCGTCTGTGGAAAACCTGACAGGAAAGAACACATATCCTACGTCAGCACAATTGCCATAATGTGTTTTATCGTATGTTTTAGTGGTTTCCTTCTTTCTTTTTTGGCCTCTGCATTCTAGCCTGGGTACCAGTATGTCTTACAGCAGAATAGTCTGAGACTGGCATCCAGGCTACCAGCATCGCCTCTCCTGCATAATCGGTGTCTGAAATGACGACCTGGCCTATTCCCTATATTGTACACTACTTTTGACCAGAGCCTTTCTTTTGACACACAGACGTACTTGATGTCTTTGATGGGCTGAGCAGAGTGCTCCACAGCCACCAGTAGTCCTCCAGAGTCCAGGATGGCATAGTGGTGAGGTCCCTTCAGGGCCTGGAGCCAGGTGTAGCCCCCGTCATCGGACACGAATACGTCAGGCTTCATCACAGAGATGGCATCGCCCACACTCCCTGAGGGTTAAGGGTCAGAGTGGAGAGGTTAGAGGTCAGAGGTCAAATAAATAGACAGCAAGGTGTAGCCCCAGTCATCTGATAGTTGAACTATTTATAAGTTACTGTATATTCTTCAAGAATCAATTTCTATACAGTATATCATTAATTTAAAAGTCCAAAAATAGATTTACCAATCCGTTTAAATAACATTAGATGGTATACCTTCTGCACCATTTGACCTGTCAGGAAGAATCACAGCCCTATCCATAACACATCCATAGCACACTGCACGGCATATCCTCTTCAATCATAATCACAGTCACTTAGTGGTGCGACATCGATTACATTTTGCATGTCAACATTTGCATGCCAGCCAGGTGTGGTCCATCAAGGTGATGGCAGGCCAGCAAGAGTGGAGTGACACAGGTGTGTGTGTGTGTGTGTGTGTGTGTGTGTGTGTGTGTGTGTGTTTGCAGCACACAATCAGCTTCAGCTTGTCAATGTAACATCAGTTCTACACTTTCCAGACCAGAGGAGAACTCCGTCCATTCAGATGTGTTCCTTTTATCTCAGAATTTGTCTCCAATTCAGACCTGGGTTCAGACCTGGGTTCAAATACCATTTAGGGTATTTCAATAACTTTCCAAGACATTTGTTAGTAAATGCAAGACATTTGTTAGTGTGGTCCTCTGTAGCTCAGCTGGTAGAGCATGGCGCCTGTAACGCCAGGGTAGTGGGTTCGATCCCCGGGACCACCCATACGTATAAAATGTATGCACGCACGACTGCAAGTCGCTTTGGATAAAAGCGTCTGCTAAGTGGCATATTATTATTATTATTATTATAAATAATTGGATATATTTTTGTTTAAACACAAGTAGTTGAATGTTTGGAATTACACTTGGAAAGTATTTGCATGTATTTGAAAATACTAAAATACACACAGTATTTATCCAAATACAAACTGTGCTGCATTTAAACCCTGTATTTAAAATAATGTATATGGAAATATTTTGAAAAAGTTGGTTATTTCTAGGAAATGATTTTAAAATACTTCCAACAGAAGTAGGTGATTCGGTCCACATTATTTGAAAATACTCAAATACACAGAAAATAAGTATTTAAATAACTAATAATCAAATACACATGTATTTAAACCCAGTTCTTATCGAACGTAAAAAACAAAATGGGGGAAATGCTCGTTTCGCAGAATTTGGATAATTTCATCAGATGTGTTGAATAAGACATTAAGTGTCATATCATTTTCTGATATTGATCGATTTCCTTAATTGACTGAGTAGAAATGGAATTGACCCCAATCTTGATTCCTTTGATCGATAAATGTTTTACTGTGCCATTGCAACAGGAAAAACTCCTAGTAACAACTCTTTATCATTGTAGAAGCATACACACCAATCCTGAAGGTGAAGACATGAACATCTCAGAGACATAACAGAACTTCAGTAGCTGCCCTCCATGCAAAAGGCACATCCATCAACACTGCTTCCTGCGCAATCAATCTCATCCTGAGTGTCCCCACCGATGGCTATGTCCTGAGGCTGATCGTGACCGGAGCGGGAGGGACAATGGCCTCAAGGGTTCTTCTCTCTCAACCTGGCCGTGTCCGACGTCATCTTCTGCCTGGCTTCTGTCTTCTTCATTGTCAGCATACACATCAAAACACCTGCAGTCTCACGTCTTGCAGCATTTGGTATGGGTCTGTTGTTCACTGGTCGACCCCTGTTTCAAAGCTGTATCTGTGTGGAGCGCTATCTGGCAGGGATCCACCCGGTAACCTTCCTGAAGTACAAACCCCTGGGAAACAGGGTCGGCTGTTGTGGTGCTGCCTGGCTGATAGTTCTTGGTGCCGGTTTGTTCGGTGTGCATCTGATTGAAACGTCTATATACACACACACACTACCTTTCAAAAGTTTGGGGTCACTTAGAAATGTCCTTGTTTTCGAAAGAAAAGCAATTTTTTTGGTCCATTAAAATAACATTAAATTTATCAGAAATAGAGTGTAGACATTTGTTAATGTTGTAAATGGCTATTATAACTGGAAACGGCTGATCTTTAATGGAATATCTACATAGGCGTAGAGAGGCCCATTATCAGCAACCATCAGTCCTGTGTTTCCAATGGCACGTTGTGTTTGCTAATCCAAGTTTAATCATTTTAAAAGGCTAAAGAGCCTTACAGGGCCCTCAGGGTTTTCTACCTCTCCTGCAAACGCTATTTGCCTTTTAAACCCTCATCATCACATTATCTTGTATTTTCTTGTGTGCACATAAATAAATTACTTAATTAAAAAATGTAATCATTCTCTAAGGATGAGGTGAGCTGACTACCTATTAGACACCACTAACTACAGTTGAAGTCGGAAGTTTACATACATTTAGGTTGGAGTCATTAAAACTTGTTTTTTCAACCACTCCACACATTTCTTGTTAACAAACTATAGTTTTGGCAAGTCGGTTAGGACATCTACTTTGTGCATGACACAAGTAATTTTTCCAACAATTGTTTACAGACAGATTATTTCACTTATAATTCACTGTATCACAATTCCAGTGGGTCAGAAGTTTACATACACTAAATTGACTGTGCCTTTAAACAGCTTTGAATATTCCAGAAAATGACGTCATGGCTTTAGAAGCTTCTGATAGGCTAATTGACATCATTTGAGTCAATTGGAGGTGTACCTGTGGATGTATTTCAAGGCCTACCTTCAAACTCAGTGCCTCTTTGCTTGACATCATGGGGAAATCAAAGGAAGTCAGCCAAGACCTCAGAAAAACAATTGTAGACCACCACAAGTCTGGTTCATCCTTGGGAGCAATTTCCAAACGCCTGAAGGTACCACGTTCATCTGTACAAACAATAGTACGCAAGTATAAACACCATGGGACCACGCAGCCGTCATACCGCTCAGGAAGGAGACGCATTCTGTCTCCTAGAGATGAACGTACTTTGGTGTGAAAAGTGCAAATCAATCCCAGAACAAAAGCAAAGGACCTTGTGAAGATGCTGGAGGAAACAGGTACAAAAGTATCTATATCCACAGTAAAACGAGTCCTATATCGACATAACCTGAAAGGCTGCTCAGCAAGGAAGAAGCCACTGCTCCGAAACCGCCATAAAAAGCCAGACTACGGTTTTCAACTGCACATGGGGACAAAGGTCGTACTTGGTCTGATGAAACAAAAATAGAACTGTTTGGCCATAATGACCATCGTTATGTTTGGAGGAAAAAGGGGGTACCTTGCAAGCTGAAGAACACCATCCCAGCCGTGAAGTACGGGGGTGGCAGCATCATGCTGTGGGGGTGCTTTGCTGCAGGAGGGACTGTTGCACTTCACAAAATAGATGGTATCATGAGGAAGGAAAAGTATGTGGCTATATTGAAGCAACATCTCAAGACATCAGTCAGGAAGTTAAAGCTTGGTCACAAATTGGTCTTCCAAATGGACAATGACCCCAAGCATACTTCCAAAGTTGTGGAAAAATGGCTTAAGGACAACAAAGTCAAGGTATTGGAGTGGCCATCACAAAGCCCTGACCTCAATTTGTGGGTAGAACTGAAAAAGCGTGTGCGAGCAAGGAGGCCTACAAACCTGACTCAGTTACACGAGCTCTGTCAGGAGGAATGGGCCAGAATTCACCCAACCTATTATGGGAAGCTTGTGGAAGGCTACCTGAAACGTTTGACCCAAGTTAAACAATTTAAAAGCAATGCTACCAAATACTAATTGAGTGTATGTACATTTCTGACCCACTGGGAATGTGATGAAAGAAATAAAAGCTGAAATAAATCATTCTCTCTACTATTATTCTGACATTTCACATTCTTAAAATAAAGTGGTGATCCTAACTGACCTAAGACAGGGAATCTTTACTAGGATTAAATGTCAGGAATTGTGAAAAACTGAGTTGAAATGTATTTGGCTAAGGTGTATGTAAACTTCCGACTTCAACTGTACCTATTAGACACCACTGCTTTGAAAATGGTATATTGGTGGTCCTCTGTAGTTCAGTTGGTAGAGCATGGTCCTCTGTAGTTCAGTTGGTAGAACATGGTCCTCTGTAGTTCAGTTGGTAGAGCATGGTCCTCTGTAGTTCAGTTGGTAGAACATGGTCCTCTGTAGTTCAGTTGGTAGAACATGGTCCTCTGTAGTTCAGTTAGTAGAACATGGTCCTCTGTAGTTCAGATGGTAGAGCATGGTCCTCTGTAGTTCAGTTGGTAGAGCATGGTCCTCTGTAGTTCAGTTGGTAGAGCATGGTCCTCTGTAGTTCAGTTGGTAGAGCATGGTCCTCTGTAGTTCAGTTGGTAGAGCATGGTCCTCTGTAGTTCAGTTGGTAGAGCATGGTCCTCTGTAGTTCAGTTGGTAGAACATGGTCCTCTGTAGTTCAGTTGGTAGAGCATGGTCCTCTGTAGTTCAGTTGGTAGAACATGGTCCTCTGTAGTTCAGTTGGTAGAGCATGGTCCTCTGTAGTTCAGTTAGTAGAGCATGGTCCTCTGTAGTTCAGTTGGTAGAACATGGTCCTCTGTAGTTCAGTTAGTAGAACATGGTCCTCTGTAGTTCAGTTGGTAGAGCATGGTCCTCTGTAGTTCAGTTGGTAGAGCATGGTCCTCTGTAGTTCAGTTGGTAGAGCATGGTCCTCTGTAGTTCAGTTGGTAGAGCATGGTCCTCTGTAGTTCAGTTGGTAGAGCATGGTCCTCTGTAGTTCAGTTGGTAGAACATGGTCCTCTGTAGTTCAGTTGGTAGAGCATGGTCCTCTGTAGTTCAGTTGGTAAAGCATGGTCCTCTGTAGTTCAGTTGGTAGAGCATGGTCCTCTGTAGTTCAGTTGGTAAAGCATGGCGCTTGCAACGCCAGGATAGTGGGTTCGATACCCGGTACCAACCGTACGTAAGAAATGTATGCATGCATCAATAAGTCGCTTTGGGTTAAAGTGTCTGCGACTGGCATATATTATATTATTACAGGGGTGTCAAACTAATTTATTAGTAATAATATAATATATGCCTTTTAGATAGATTATGGGAGTGAGCCACAGATTAGTGGCTAGTCGAGACTTGAACCCTGAGTGTTAACGCTCGCCCAGACACCGGCAATGGCCTGGCCTTTTTGCTTAGCCAAATTGAAACAGTCATGAACATGTTAATGAGGAGAAGAAGATGTGTGTGTGTGTGTGTGTGTGTGTGTGTGTTTGCGCGTGCGTGTGCGTGTGCGTGTGCGTGAATCCCTGCGTGTGTGATTTACCGTGAGCCATGATGAGTCCTACAGCGTTTGGTTCACTGAGAGGCAGCATGGGGACGTTCAGCTTCATAGCCGTGCTGTAAGCTGCGTGGATGTGGAGACTGCACATGTTGGGGTCTTTAGCTGTGGAGTCACACTTGGTGTTGTCAGGCTTCTGCAGGGGCACCCATTCCCCTCCCTGGTCGAAGGACACCACGGACTGCACCGAGCCGTCTGGACAACAACACAACGATGAGACAGAGGTTATTCTGAGAGCCATATAGATATAATCCAGTGTATCTCTGCTGTAGACATGCAGCTGATCTCACACTGAACAGGCTAATGAAAGTCGTACATCCTGCTATGGCAATAATACACCGTAGTCTGAGGAACAGGCGTCTGGGACACGGTCATGTGACCTTTTCCTCCCACGCCTTTGGAACTCCCTTTCTTCCCCATCTCAGGGCTGTTCTAACTGTTGGGGAATTTAAAGCAGGTGTGTGTGTGTGTGTGTGTGTGTGTGTGTGTGTGTGTGTGTGTAGTAGTCCCTACCCTCTGCCAGTATACTGGTGATGAAGACTCCTCGTAGAGAGGTAACGTTGGTGAAGTCAGTGTCGCCCCCTGTGGTGGTGTAGAGGTGACGCTCCAGAGACTTGGAATACACTGTCCCTCTGTCATCTGACACGTAGATGCTGCCAAAGCCTGTGTCTGGGGACATATAGGAGAAGAGCTGTATTCACGTACTGAAAAGGAATACGTGGTGAAGAGGGGGCCCCGGGGGGTGTAGAGGAGAGAGAGGAACGGGTATTACACGGAGGCAAAACTGGGAGAAGGAAAGTGGGAATTCCAAAAGATAAGATACAGGGAAGACGGAGGAGAGAGGAACAGGGGGAAAGGATAAAGGATAAGGGACGGGGAAAGAGAGGGAGAAGGGAAAAAAAAAGGGAAATTTCCTAGATTCCCGGGGGAAGTACGGGGGAAAGGGAAACGAGGGTTTAAATAGGAAAATTTAAAACGTACAAGAAACGGGTTTGGGAGTACTTTGGGTAGGATAGAAGGAACGGGGAGGACAGTATAACTGTTAACGAATAACAGGGGTTAACATTTCGTACTGAGTATGAAGAGGGGGGTTCAAGTTCGGAAAAGGGGTTTTTTGGGTTCTTCTTTGGGGTTTTTTCCCTCTTTTTCCCAACCTTTTCCTTCCGAGAGCGGGGCCAGGGGAGGTGAGGCCGGGAAATTTACGAAAACAGAGGGGAGAGACGGAGGGAAGCAGGAGTCAGAGGAGGAGAGACAGGGGAGAGATTTCCAGAAGAGAGGAACAGGAGGAGATCCAAGGAGAGGAAACCCGGATGAGAGTACAAAGGGAGGAAGAACGGGGAAAGGGGACGAGAGTAGAGGAACAGGGGAGGAGAGTACGAGAGGAGGGAAAGGAACAGGGAGAGGAAACAGGGAGGAGATTTACAGGGGGGAAAGAACAGGGGGAAGTACGAGAGGTGGAGAGAGAAAACCCAGGGAAATAAAGGGGAGTAGATACAGGATGAAGGAACGGGGTTTCCGTATTATCACTGTTCGGTTTTCTCCCTTGGTTTACTTCGGGGCCTTTCCGGTTCGTCCGGGGGTTTCGTTTCGCCTTCCCTGGGTTTGGGGCCCCGGGGGTTTGGGCAGGAGTTACTAAAAGGTGGGCCCCCAAAATTTAGGAGGGGAAATTCGAGGAATTGGAAAACATTAGTAAGTACTAAAGCGGGGAGTACCATTAACAGGGGATTAATAATTTTTTCCGAGTTAAACCGGAGGGGTACCTTTTGGGACCTGGGGTCCCCCGGTAACCGTTACAATTTGGGTTCCTTTTTGGGTAAACGGGGTTCTGAAGCAAGGGAGGAAGTAAAGACAAACAGGGATAAGTACCAGAAGAAGGGAACTTAAACAGCGCCTCTGTCATCTGACACATAGATGGTGCCAAAGCCAGTGTAGAGAGACATAAAGGATTAGGTCACAGTGAACTTCATTAGAATAGATCAACAATGGAGAAAAGTGAAGCAGAGGAAGAGAGGAGACATGGCAAGTGTCTGGAGACAAAGAACCAAGTTATGATACATTTATAAACTAAAGGAGAACTATTTAAGAGATGACAAAGTCGTTCCATGTAATGAATCTGTTATGCAATGTGTTTGTATGGGCTAATAGCAAATGAGGCCCCCCAAAACATTTCATGAATTTTATTTTTTTATTTTTTATATATACTTCAAGGGGTCTTACATTTCCATATAGCTTAGTAGAGGAAGACAGGAACAGAGAAGAAATAAGGGATACAGAGGGCATGACAGGATAGACAAACAAATTTGGTTCTTTTAGGGTTCTCTCCAAAATGGTTACTAGAGTACAGGGTGAGGGGACAACATTGGTCCTGTTAGGGTTTCTCTCCATCATGGTTAACTAGAGTGCAGGATGAGGGGACAACATTGGTCCTGTTAGGGTTCTCTCCATCATGGTTAACTAATGACAGGGTGGGGGACAACATTGGTCCTGTTAGGGTTCTCTCCATCATGGTTAACTAGAGTGACAGGATGAGGAGACAACATTGGTTTCCCGTTAGGGTTTCTCTCCATCATGGTTAACTAGAGTGAACAGGATGAGAACAAAAATTGGGTCCTGTTAGGGGTTTTCTCCAACATGGTTAACTAGGTGACCCGGTTTAGGGGACAACATTTGGTTCTGTTAGGGTTCTCTCCAACTGGTTAACTAGAGTGACAGGATGAGGAGACAACATTGGTCCTGTTAGGGTTCTCTCCATCATGGTTAACTAGAGTGACAGGATGAGGAGACAACATTGGTCCTGTTAGGGTTCTCTCCAACATGGTTAACTAGAGTGACAGGATAGACAACTTGGTCCTGTTAGGGTTCTCTCCATCATGGTTAACTAGAGTGACAGGATAGGAACAACATTGGTCCTGTTAGGGTTTCTCTCCAACATGGTTACTAGAGTGACAGGATGAAGGGGACAACATTGGTCCTGTTGGGTTTCCTCCAAAATGGTTAACTAGAGTGACAGATGAGGAGACAACATTGGTTCCTGTTAGGGTCCCCCTCCAACATGGGTTAACTAGAGTGACAGGGTGAGGAACAACATTGGTCCTATTAGGTTCTCTCCAACATGTTAACTAGAGTGACGGATGAACAACATTGGTCCTGTTAGGGTTCTCTCCATCATGGTTAACTAGAGTGACAGGATGAGGAACAACATTGGTCCTGTTTAGGGTTCTCTCCATCATGGTTAACTAGAGTGACAGGATGAGGAGACAACATTGGTCCTGTTAGGGTTCTCTCCAACATGGTTAACTAGAGTGACAGGATGAGGAGACAACATTGGTCCTGTTAGGGTTCTCTCCATCATGGTTAACTAGAGTGACAGGATGAGGAGACAACATTGGTCCTGTTAGGGTTCTCTCCAACATGGTTAACTAGAGTGAACAGGATGAGAACCAACATTGGTCCTGTTAGGGTTCTCTCCAACATGGTTAACTAGAGTGACAGGATGAGGAGACAACATTGGTTCTGTTAGGGTTCTCTCCAACATGGTTAACTAGAGTGACATTGTGTGGAAAAAAGAACACAGTATAGGCTATTGACTGACCTCCTGGTTCATCCACGTGCATAAACACCATGTCCTCATTGGCTGCCAAGATAGAATAGAACTCCTCGTGGCCAACCGGAGGCAGTTGAGCCATGTTCCACTCCTCCCCCTGGTTAGTCGACACATGAATCATCCCAGAGTGCCCTGGGGGAGGGAAGGAGAGAGAGAGGGGGAGAAAGCGAGAGAGGGTGGAGTAAGGAGAGATAGAGAGAGAGAGAGATATATAGAGAGAGATTAGAGAGAGAGAGAGAAGAAGATAGATAAGAGAGAGAGAAGAGATGTCCCTCCGGGTTCCATCTTCTGTTCTGACCCCTTTTCTCTCCCCCTCTCCCGTCCCTTCTACCCCCCCCCCCCCTTTTTGCCCCCCTTGCGCCCCCCGCCCTCCCCTCCCCTCTCCCTCTCTCTCCTTCTCTCGTTCCCCCTTTTTTTCTCTCCCCCCTTTTGCTTCTCTTCCCCTTCTCTTGGGAAAAACAGAGATTTGCATTTTAAAGAGGAAATCGATTTTACCCCTCTGCAAACATGATTAGTCCTTTTGGCCAAACCCCTTTTTCCTCACAGAATTCCAGCGTTTCTTGTAGTTGGGCCCCCTTTTTTTACACATCCAGTAGGGATTTTGTTCCACTCCTCTTTGCAGATCTTCTCCAAGTCATTAAGGTTTTGAGGCTGACATTTGGCAACTCAAACCTTCAGCTCCCTCCACAGATTTTCTATGGGATTAAGGTCTGGAGACTGGCTAGGCCACTCCAGGACCTTAATGTGCTTCTTCTTGAGCCACTCCTTTGTTGCCTTGGCCGTGTGTTTTGGGTCATTGTCATGCTGGAATACCCATCCACGACCCATTTTACATTTACATTTACATTTACGTCATTTAGCAGACGCTATCCAGAGCGACCTTAATGTGCTTCTTCTTGAGCCACTCCTTTGTTGCCTTGGCTCTGTCATAGCCGGCTGCAACCGGGAGACCAATGGGGCGGTGCGCAATTGGCCCAGCGTCGTCCAGGGTAGGGGAGGGAATGGCCGGCAGGGATGTAGCTCAGTTGATAGAGCATGGCGTTTGCAACGCCAGGGTTGTGGGTTTGATTCCCACAGGGGGTATGAAAAAAAAACATATGCATTAACTGTAAGTCGCTCTGGATAAGAGCGTCCGCTAAATGACTAAAATGTAATGTAAATGTAAATGTTTTGGGTCATTGTCATGCTGGAATACCCATCCACAACCCATTTTCAATGCCCTGGCTGAGGGAAGGAGGTTCTCACCCAAGATTTGACGGTACATGGCCCGTCCATCGTCCCTTTGATGCAGTGAAGTTGTCCTGTCCCCTTAGCAGAAAAACACCCCCAAAGCATAATGTTTCCACCTCCATGTTTGACGGTGTGGATGGTGTTCTTGGGGTCATAGGCTGCATTCCTCCTCCTCCAAACACGGCGAGTTGAGTTGATGCCAAAGAGCTCGATTTTGGTCTCATCTGCCACAACACTTTCACCCAGTTCTCCTCTGAATCATTCAGATGTTCATTGGCAAACTTCAGACGGCCCTGTATATGTGCTTTCTCGAGCAGGGGGACCTTGCGGGCGCTGCAGGATTTCAGTCCTTCACGGCGTAGTGTGTTACCAATTGTTTTCTTGGTGACTATGGTCCCAGCTGCCTTGAGATCATTGACAAGATCCTCCCGTGTAGTTCTGGGCTGATTCCTCACCGTTCTCATGATCATTGCAACTCCACGAGGTGAGATCTTGCATGGAGCTCCAGGCTGAGGGAGATTGACAGTTATTTTGTGTTTCTTCCATTTGCGAAAAATCGCACCAACTGTTGTCACCTTCGCACCAAGCTGCTTGGCAATGGTCTTTTAGCCCATTCCAGCCTTGTGTAGGTCTACAATCTTGTCCCTGACATCCTTGGAGAGCTCTTTGGTCTTGGCCATGGTGGAGAGTTTGGAATCTGATTGATTGATTGCTTCTGTGGACAGGTGTCTTTTATACAGGTAACAAGCTGAGATTAGGAGCACTCCCTTTAAGAGTGTGCTCCTAATCTCAGCTCGTTACCTGTATAAAAGACACCTGGGAGCCAGAAATCTTTCTGATTGAGAGGGGGTCAAATACTTATTTCCCTCATTAAAATGCAAATCAATTTTATAACATTTTTGACAATGCATTTTTCTGGATTTTTGTTGTTGTTATTCTGTCCTCTCACTGTTCAAATAAACCTACCATTAAAATTATAGACTGATCATTTCTTTGTCAGTGGGCAAACGTACAAAATCAGCAGGGGATCAAATACTTTTTTCCCTCACTTTATACCACATACACTTACTCATACTTACAGTACCAGTCATAACAGAAGCAAACAGGAACTTTCCGCCCAGGCCAAAGGAGAAGATCTTAATGGCAACAGTCTTGATGGTCTTCCCATAGTCTGTTGTCTTCCTCAAGTCCAGCATTCCCCTTTCATCTGAGAAAGAGAGAGAATGAGGGAGAGAGAGAGAGAGAGAGAGACAGAGAGAGAGAGAGAGACAGAGACAGAGAGAGAAGAAGACAGAGAGAGAGAGCGAGACAGAGAGAGACAGAGACAAGAGACAGAGACAGAGACAGAGAGAGAGACAGAGAGAGAGCGAGAGACAGAGAGAGAGCGATACAGAGAGGAGAGCGAGAGACCGAAAGAGAGGCGAGACAGGAGAGAGCGAGAGCAGAGAGAGAGAGACAAAACCGACAGAAAAGACAGACAGACAGACAACAGACAGACCAAAATACAGACAAAGACAGACAAACAGAAAAGACAGACAGACAGACCAGACAGAGAAAAAGAGAGAGAAACGAGAAGAGACAGAAGAGAGACAGAGAGAGACAAAAGACAGAGAGAACCCGAGAGACAGGGGAGACAGAGAGACAGAGAGACAGAGAGACAGGAGCCCAAAAACAAGGGGAAAAGACAAGAGAAGACCCAAAAGAGACCGAAGACCGACAACAGAGAGACAGGGAACAGAAAAGAAGAGAGAGAAAAGAGAGAGACAAAACAGCCATACAAGACAGCAGACATACAGACGACAACAGACAGACAGAGCAACAGTGAGAGAGACAGCCGAGGAGGAGAGAGGGGAGAGAGAGAGAGAAAAGAGAGACGACAACAGAGAAAAAGAGACATACAGACAGAGAGAAGACAAAGAGAGAGAGAGAGAGAGAGACAGAGCGAGACCGAGAGACCCAAGAGACAAAAAGAGACCGAAGACGAGAGAGACCGAGAGAGACAGAGACAGAGACAGAGAGAGAGGACATAACAAAACAAAAAGACAGAGAGAGAGAAGCAGAAAACAAAATAGAGGGGAGAAAAGAAGACAGACCAAAAGAAAAGGGGAGAGAGGGGAGAGAGAGAAAAGGGGAAGAGAGAGAGAAGAGAGAAGACCCGGACCGAGAAAAAAAACAGAGAGAGAGAGAAGGGGCAGAGAGACAGAGACAAAAGAAAAGAGAGAGACTGACCCGCCAGAGAAAAACCAAAACGAGATACAAGAGACAGGAAAAGAGAAGAGAGACAAAACAAGAGGAGAGACAGAGAGAGGAAAAAAACCCAAGAGACAGAGACAGAGACAGAGAGAGAGAGACATAGAAAACATAGACAGAGGAAAACAGAGGGGACAGACCGAGACAACAGAGATAGAGAAGCCGAGAGACAGACAACCAGGAGAGAGGAAGAGAAGAAAAAGAGAGAGAAAAAGAGACAGGACAGAGAGGGGAAAAGAGAGAGAGACAAGAGACAGACAGAAGGGCTAGACGACCTGACAGAGAGAGAAGAGACAGAGAGACAGAGAGACAAGGACCGAGAGACAGAGGAGAGAGACAGAGAGGAGACAGAAGACAAAGAAACAGAGAGAGAGACAACCCGAAAAGGGGAAAACAGAGAGGGGAGAGACGAGAGAGACAGACAGAGATAGGGGAGAGACGGGGAAAAGAGAAAACCCCGAAGAGAGACAAAACAGAGAGAGAGACAGACAAGAAGAGGGCAACAGCAGACAGAGAGAAAAGCAGACCCAAAAGGGGAGAGACAGAGAGAAGGGGAAAAGGAGGAGAGAGACAGAATAGACAGACAAGAAAAGAGAAGACAGAGATAGAGAGAGCCCGAGAAGCCCGAGAAAAGAGACAGACAAAAGACGAAGACAACCGGGCAACAGAAAAGAGACCGAGACAGAGGGCAAAAGAGAGAGACGAGAGACAGACAGACAGAGAGAGAACCCTAACCAGAGATAGGAAAGAGGAAGAGAGAGAGAGAGAAGGCCCGAGAGAGAGGGGAAGAAGAGAGAGAAGAGAGAGAGAGAAAAGAGCAGAGACAGAGACCCAAAAAGAGAAAAGAGAGAGCCCAACCCAAAAAAGAACAAGGAGAGAGACCTAACGAGAGAGACAAAAAGACAGACAGAGACCCAAAAAAAGAATAGAGAGGGCAGAGAGAAAAGACAACCCGGGCCAAAGAGAGAGAAGAGAGAGAGAGAGAGGAGGGGAGAGAAGGGGAAGAAAAAGGGGCAGGGGAAAAACGGAGACAGAGAGGGGGAGACCCGAGAAGAGGGGAAGAGAGACAGACAGACAGAATAGAGAGAAAACAGAGATAAAAGAGAGACAGAAAAGAGAAGACAGACCGAAAGAGAAGAGACAGACAAAAGAAAAGAGGAAAAAGAGAGAGAGGGCGGAGAGAGGAGGGGAGGGTAAGAAAAGAAAAGGGGAAACGAAAAGAGGAAAGGGCCCCCCGGACCGAGCCCAGAACAGAGACCCCCCAACAACCCCCCCCAGAGAAAAAGACAAACAAAAAGAGACATAGAAACAGAGACAGAATAGACAAAAGAAAAAAGAGACAAAAAAGACAAAAAGACAAAAGACAAAAAAACCCCGAGACAAAGAAGAGAAAAGAGACAGACCAAAAGAGAAAGAGAGGCCCGAAAAGAGAGAAGGAAAGAGAGAAAAACCCGACAGAGAAAAGAGACAGAGAAAAGAGAAAAAGAAAAAGACAAAAAAGAACAAGATGAGAAGAAGAGATAAAGACCCCCCAGAAGCCGACAAGACCAGAGGGGAGAAAAGGGGAGAGAGGGAGGAAAAAAGAGAAAAGAGAGAAGAGAA